TGGAATCCTCAGGTTCTGAGTTCCAGCCCCACTCCATCAGACTGCCACTCTGCGTCTCTGAGCAAGACCCTTAACCCCTGATTGCTCCCCGGACACCGCAGGATGGCAGCCCACTTCTCTCCAAGGGGATGGGTTAAATGCAATGTGACATGAGTAAAAGTTCAATTATTATTATTATTTCCCAGGAATTGGGGAAAACAAGTTAGACTGAAGCAGAATTAATGTTTTTGAAGTTATTGGTGTCAGCTTTAGTTTTTTTAATCTACAAAGCCTATTTGGGATATGAAAGAAAAATAAACAAAAGCAGACACTGCTGATCCTTCTACAAGCAGTACTTTAATTTAGATTAGTTCAACCTCCCTCAACTTTTAACTCCTTTTGTTTGCTACCAAACAACAGATCCAGGATCATCCTTGCATTGTGAACACAGCCTGTTAGCAATGTCTATGAGAGCAAAGAAGAAATTAATGACAAAGAAAAATTGACGAATGGAAGGTCAATGTAAGAAACAAACAAATGGAATTTTTATTTATACGTTTATATCAAACAACATTGAATGTACTTATTATTATTTTCCAAAAAAATAAAAGTTATAGAGAAAAGCGGAATGAATAAATTAACATTATAAAAGAAAAAAATCCAAGAATTTTGAGAGTATTTGGGTCGATAGCAGATCTATGCCAAATGATTTCGAAGCAGGTAGTTGCAGTTAAATAGCTGAATGTTTGCTTATATAACAAAAAACTGAATAAATGCCAGTTTCCTCAATGATGACTCTGATGATAATGACAAAATATGACATTTAGCTGCGAGATGAAGGCCGGCGCGGGACTGTAAACTCAAACGACACCGGGCTGATGGACGTGGAGGAAAGCAAGAGGACGCAGACAGAAATGAAGCAAGAAAGAGCAGGCAATTACCCCATGAGGCTCCTGAAAGCAATCCAAGCCAGGAAACAAAGACAAAAGAGGACAGAAAAGTGGCAGAGGCAGACAGAGCGACAGAGAAAAGACAGAGAGAAGCCGCCAAAGCAATAAGAGAATCAGATCTCAGTGACAGGAAAGGGTTACAAAGCAGAATCTGTATGTGAGAAATAGTATGAGGAAAGAGTAAACAAGTCATATACAAGAAAACATTAAAACAACAACCTGTTCAAATGTCTAAAGGCGCCTGTAAAATACAGCTCGATTAGATGCTGTTATTGTATGGAGTGAACTTCATTCCATTATTGTTGCAAACAAAGAACATATTTTGTAAAAAAATTAAAATAAAAAATAAAATAAACACAAAAAAACATGTTGCATAAACAGAAATAAAACAAAAATAATAAAAAAAAATCACTTTGCAGAACTTATTAATCCTTAATTCTTAGTTTGCAGAACGACTTTGCTGTTTTCCTAGATTTATCTTCTTTTTTTTATTTCTTTTTCCACATTTTCTTTCAAATTTTATTTGGTCAAATTTCTCCTTTTCAGATTGAGTTTTATTAACATTTTAAATTGTGTTTTACAGTTTATGTTCTTCTCTCGTCAAGCCCAATACAAATGCTTGCACTTGAACAATAAAAATGTTGTTAGCATCCATGCAGAACAATAAAAATTCGTGTTTGCTCCTCATTTCAAAGGAATAAAGTAAAGATAATGTAATTTGGAATCTGTAACCAGTCGAGAATGCAATTCGGAAAACTTATTCGGAATAACAGAAATTTGAAAATACGAAATCTGTTTAAAAAATAGAAAATATAAATTTGTAAAAAAAAAAAATTAGCAGAAAAAAATTATAGAACAATAAGAAAAGATTAAATCTGAAAAAACAGCAGCTCTTTGCTTTTAACAATAATGGAACATTATTCACTCTATATTCTCAAACCATCTGAAACACATTCATATCCTGGTCTGTCTGTAAAGTGAGGGTGCATCGATCCATCCATCCAGCATTGAAATTGATCAAAATCAATCATTACTTAGCCGGTGATTTCCCCTGCTGAATACACATACTTCAATCGAAGGTCTAATTTTCCAGCATGGGTTGAGTTTTCCTGCTGCAATAAAATCTGTTTATTTAATGATTAATTACACATTTCCTCCATGGTGTTCCAATAAATATGTAAACAAGGTGCCTTTAACTTCTCAAAATGTCTCCAACAAAAACAGCAGCTTTTACCTGACATTGTGGGAGCGATTGACTGCACAGCTGTAATTATGTACCAAACGGAGCCCTAATAATGCTAAGAATAAAAGTCCTTCTGACCCTCAAGCAAATAAGAAAGACTGTGTAGAAAACAAGAGAAATCTGACTTAGTGGTGAACTCCAGGTTACATTTAAGTCTGAAGATAAAGAAAGCAAAATTAATTTATGTGAAAAGCACCAGAAGAGGTTAAAACTGTTTCTGTAACTTAGTGTGGTTTGATCTGGTGTATCAGGAAGTTAAGTTGAATGAGCACGACTAAAGGATATGATGAAAGAGACTTACGAGCAGGCGAAGGCCACCAGAGCTCCACTGACCACAATAAAATCAAGGATGTTCCAAAGGTCACGAAAATAAGAGCCGGGGTGGAGGAGCAGCCCGAGGTCGATCATCTGGAGTCAGATGTTAAACATAAAGAAAAATCAATGACAAAGCAAAGTCATCATTAAAAAATAATTATGAAAAAGCCAATACTGTAGCCCTCAAAGCTTTCTTCCAATGAGCCCTCTGCAATCACACACAGCTATGAAAGTAGCAGTGGCTTAAATTCACCAAGACTGCATCTGATTTGCTGTAAAATCTGCAGTTTTTTTGGAGGATTCTCTACATCAGTTCTTCCTGTGTCTAACCAGGAATGGAGGAGCAGTTCTTTGATGTAAACCTGCCACGCCTTTTATATTAATATCTCTATGCTAAATGTTTGATTATGTTGAATATTAGCTTTAGGTTTGCAAAATTATGGAAACCAATCTGCTGCAGCTATTTTTCAACAGCTTTGTTTGTTTTTAATCTGACTGTACAGAACATAGGGGGAAGATCCTTTTAAATAATTTATTGCAATCTCATGTTGGTACCTAGACGATAGCTATGGTCTATGCTTTAGAGCTTTTCAGCTGTGTTAGAATGTTATGTGCGTCGGGCACATTCATTATTTTTGTTTCTTTTTTTTCTTTTCCCTTTTATTGTTGTATAGACCTTAGTTGAGTCACGTAAATTTTAGGGTTGATAATTGTTTCTTTTGTAAATGATTCGATTACGTTAATTGGTTGTGATATTGGTCCGCCTATAAGTAGGCTGGGTTTTTCTCTCTCTCTCTCTCCCTTCGAACCTTCTGATCAAGCCACCGTCACAGAGAGAGCGTCCAGACGCGATGCACACGTCTCCCGTCTTTGTAGGCCGCCGCTGACCTCTCCAGCCTGCCATGTGGTATTTTTGTTCGTTAGCCTTTGGTTTTTCACAGATTTTTTGTAACTTTGACCTGGTGGGCTACAGCAGCAGAAGACCACACCGGGTGCCACTCCTTTCAGCTGAGAACAGGAAACTGAGGCTACAATTTGCACAAGCTCATCGAAATTGGACAATAGAAGATTGGAAAAACGCTGCCTGATCTGATGAGTCTCGATTTCTGCTGCGACATTCGGATGGTAGGGTCAGAATTTGGCGTCTACAACATGAAAGCATGGATCAATCCTGCCTTGTACCAACGGTTCAGGCTGGTGGTGGTGGTGTCATGGTGTGGGGATTATTTTCTTGGCACTCTTTTGGCCCCTTGGTACCTATTGAGCATCGCTGCAACGCCACAGCCTACCTGAGTATTGTTGCTGACCATGTCCATCCCTTTATGACCACAATGTACCCAACTTCTGATGGCTACTTTCAGCAGGATAATGCGCCATGTCATAAAGCTGGAATCATCTCAGACTGGTTTCTTGAACATGACAATGAGTTCACTGTACTCAAATGGCCTCCACAGTCACCAGATCTCAATCCAATAGAGCATCTTTGGGATGTGGTGGAACGGGAGATTCGCATCATGGATGTGCAGCCGACAAATCTGCGGCAACTGTGTGATGCCATCATGTCAATATGGACCAAACTCCCTGAGGAATGCTTCCAGCACCTTGTTGAATCTATGCCACGAAGAATTGAGGCAGTTCTGAAGGCAAAAGGGGGTCCAACCCGTTACTAGCATGGGGTACCTAATAAAGTGGCCGGTGAGTGTATGTCCCATTTATACAGCAATTTAGCTATAGCTTTAGTTTCACCACCACGGTTAAAAATATCTGAGAAAACTCTGTAAACATATCTTATTTTACATCGGGCTGATTTCAAAATAAAATTGTAAAATACATTGAAGTATGTCAGTACAATGTGAACAAAATGAAATAGGTTCAGATGGTTTATTCTATTTAGAGAGAATCAAATAGTTAAATCCTCATAGAGCGCAGAAAGATTTCAGTTTCAGCTAAATCGAACATATTATTGCATTTCTGCACTGCATTAAAAAAACACAAAATAGACATTTCTCATGTTTTTAGCTCATCTCACCTTTATCACCATCTCAAACGTGAAGACTCCAGTAAAGACATAATCCAGATATTTAAGAACCTGCAAACAGCAAAAAAAGACTCATGAAGACTCGTCAGCAGGAAGTTTTTCTTCATGGACTCCTTGGAGATAAAAGTGAATGGACTGGATACGCATGTTTCCCTATCAGAGGCTCTGTTTGACACACAGAACACGTCCAAGCACCTTCACCTCAGTTTGCCTCTGTGGTCCTGGCTGAAATGCTAATTAGCTGTGCTTGTCTTTCTAAAAGACAAAGCCAAGCTCACCTGTCTGCATGCATCTTTTCAAGCATGGATATCAAGAGAAATAAAAAATCAAACCCGATGTGTGCCACACTGTGTCATTGTTTTATCAGCCCTTTAACCGCAGGGTCAGTTTAGGACAATCTACTACCTCCACACTACAGCCCTTTCAGTCCAAATGAATCAGGTACACATAATTCAACTTATATCTCCAGTTGCTTGGGTGACCTGGCACATTTTTACATCTTCAAATACACGTCTGCCTGTTTTTGTTGCACTTGTCCCAGCTGTTTATTCATAAGGCCCAGACGTCAGCTTGACTCACGTTGTTCCGGGGAGCGTTGGCCTGCACCGGGTCCTCGGCTGCTAGCGTGATGCTGCTCATGGTGATGACCATCAGGATGCACATTTCAAAGTAGCGCAGGTTGACCACATAGTGACACAGGCGTCGCACCCTGCAAGACCATGTGGATAAACTCAGAGATATGAACAGAGTAGCAGCAGTTACCATTTATTGTGCTGGGCAGAAATATTTGCCCCTTGGAGATGTTTTGCTGGTTTTGGGATTATATTCTCTGATTTAAATGTTTAAAAACATTAAACAAACATATCATGTAATTAAAGAGGCCCATGTGAAACAGTAAACCTATAACTGATGGTGCCACACGTGGCAGCAACAATTATCTTCAAGCATTTTTGCTAACTGGTAAATCTTTAAATCAATGTGGAAGATTTGGTCAACATTCTGATCCAGAATTGTTTTAACAGCTTGTTTCATACATTAAAGGGTTTAGGAGCATGAACAGGCTTTTCATGGTAACACCTTAATTGATTCTCAATTGAATCAAGATGCACTTTTTTGTTTTTATCCATTAAGTGGAGAACCTTTTAATGAACCAATGAGTTGTCACTTTGTGTGTAGAAAGCTGATTCTATGGTTCAGTTAATCCTTCAATAACATGATGATAGTTTTACACCAGATATTATAGGACAGGCATCTTACATAAGTCAACAGTTTGGGTTTCCCAAATGTCTTAAAGACAACTAAGATTTATTTATTTTTTGTGTTGTTTATGCAAGCATCAGTTTTTGCTGACCGAAATATTCCGCAGTGGATGCACCATTTTGCCCGGGCTCTTTTTTTTATTTTTATTTTTTTATGACCAGAACTTCAGCACTGAGGCCCCGTCCACACGAAGTCAAAACGAACACGAAACGCTGATATTTTCCAAAACGTTTGC